AGGAGTTATTTGCTTCGTTGGTACTTATTTTTATCGTTGTTTTAATAATGCCACATATTTCAAATTATGATTGTCAACAATTTGAAATGTTAATGTACTGAAAATAAACTCATTACACGTAAGATAGTGAATAAAGATTTTTAATGTTTTCACAGCCAAAGTTTGTATAAGTTTTCTATGTTGGTGCCTAAAGTTTTTAATTCTTCAGGTACTTGGCTCGGAAAATGATTTGAAATAATTCGATTCAGCCTTTGTTAGTTGACGCTGCATATATAATGAGGAATGAGTTTATATCACTCAAGTCAGTGGTATATTCGTTAAAGGTGTGATAACCATGATTTCATAAACTTTCAGTTCTTCTTCTCCAAATGTGCCACTATGTGTTTCTTCAGGTCTGGTAAATTTTTTGGTTCGTAGGAGCACTTATGACACTTCAATGGAGAATCCATATATGACTTACATGTTTCTTTAGAAGGTATAGTTACTTTTCCATACTTCTGCAAGCTTGACAATACCTCTGAAAAATGAAACGTTAACATAGGAAATCATTAATGCAAAAAGGCAAATGTTCATTTCATAGATCATGCACAGTAACCCTTTACACAACTGAACTGTAGCAGATATCAACTTGAAAAGCAGCGATTGAAATGTATCTATGAACACAAGTTAATCTGATATTTTGTTTTCACGAAATGATTGGCATTAGGGTAATGTTCACGTTACTTAATCCAGCTTGAAGATGTTTGAAACAAATTATTTCTTACCATTTGAATTAAGAAAAAAATCTGTGTTGAAACTATTCCAATGTTTTTTAGTTTTGAGACACGGCGAGTTCATATCATCACTAATAACATGCATATGTAAACGAAACATGCTAGCTTCAGCATGGTAACCTAGTTTGAAATGTTTATGCTTGTGTGCTTCACTGTTCAATAATTCTTTTGCCTTAATTTCCATGTGTTTCAGAAGATCAATATGATCTTTGTTTAATGCTTTCAAATTGCTGATATTTGCCTTGGGCAATATTAGGTAATGAAATTCAGCTTTTGGATAGACATCTTTGATTATGGTAATCAATTCATCGGACTGTATTATATATTTCGGATCTTCCATTGTCTTCAGCAGTCCTAATGCCCAATGACCAGAATTGATTTTTTTACTAGGGGCCGTTTTCTGAGTAGAATCATCATTTTTTCGTTTGGACATTTCTCTCAGCAATTTCTTTTGTTCAGCCAGAAAACCAATTTTAATTTTGTTTCTGTACCCAATTCCAAAATTAAAAAATAAGGAAATATTTTCAGCTCTTAACCCCCTGCTTAAAAAAATTATAAACAAACGAACCAACCGCCCCACAGGGTTGCAAGGTTGCCAACTACGTAACTAGAGAAAGTCGTACATCCATATTTTTTAGTTATAGAGTTTTACTTCAGAAGCATATTTTCAATAAGAATAATAATATTTACTAACTGGCAGAATTGAATGCTTTTTTTTTGTTTTCAAATACCGAGCACGTACTATTTTTTGTATTTTATTTATAACAGAAATACTATCAACTTCAATAACAAATTTCCTCAACCTTTTTCTTCATTTTTGATGTTGACATATCAAGAATTATTCATTTGTTACAAGTGGAAATTGATAACTCCGTCAATTGTAGCTATGAAAACGTATCCACGAAGCGGATTAATTTTAAAAACTTCTTGTTATTCATTTGTTTCAAGTGGAAATTGGTAACTCCGTCAATTGTAGCTATGAAAACGTTTCCACGAAGCGGATTCATTTTAAAAACTTCTTGAAATATGCACAAAGGTCAAGTTATCTGAAAGAACAATTTGTTCAGGCCAGTCACGACTCACCTACACTGTAGGTTAATGGACTGACACACATCACAAACCAACTACTTTCCTGGTTAATACCACGAAGGACGTTGGATTATAAGTACAAAAATTCACATATAGTAAGATTGGCTGTAAATCGAATTGTTCTTTCAGATAATTGAATCGATTTGAAGCCGGTTTTCAAGTATTACGAAATACTGTGACACACATGAGTAAAATATAAGTCTGTTCTAAAGTTGTCTCTGTTCTGACTTCTGACATATTATCCTGTGGTTCCGATCAGGGATATGATGATCATTACAATTCATATACATCATTACGTTCATTCCGAACTTGCAACTTGTAGAATCTTTTATGTCTAAATAAAATTTACGAATACGTAAACCTACCTATGAAATGTCACATAAACCCTACTTTTTTGTTTTCACTTTTATTAAAACACGCTAAAACAGAACACAGAACCTTTTTTATTTCGAACCGATCTCTTGGTTCTACATTCATGATGTCGGCATAATCCTATTTCTGTTGTGCTACATATCAGGTTTGTCACGCAAACCTTTTCATTCAGACTACAACTGACTCAATTACTTCGGACAGTTTCGAACAGTACTAACTGCGAACCAGAACAAACCTATTATGGTTTGTTTGGAATGAGTAGCTGTCACAGAGTCACAGAATAATTGTTTACTATTCTGTGACTCAGTTAAGTACGTTGTGTCTTGTTTCTGAACTGAGAATGTTATTAGTTTTGATCTAATGGTTATTCAAGAAATTTTACAAATGTGTTTTATTTTATGACTAAGAATAGATAACAGTTTCTGTAAATATGAGGGACAGTGAAGATGAAAGTTGCATACTCACTGGATTTTTGTTTGGAAATATTGATGAATCAGGAAATTTGGAAACAGATTTTTTTGATTCCAACGAACGAAAACAGCTTGCTTCCCTTGGAAAGTGAGTATCTTCTGAATATTGATGACTTATTGGAATACATTCCCTTTAATATTCAAGGTTGGGTCTGGGTTCCTTTGTGAAAGACATAATAGGTGGTGAAAAAATAAAAGAAGAAATCGAAAGTGATTCTGAAACCTATGATGGCCCACACATAAAACAAGATGATACTGGGATGGAAAACTTTGGTTCACAAGGCAGCTTACCTTCTGAAGGATATGGGTCGCAAGGCAGCCATAGTGAAGGAAGTTTTAGCCAAGGAGGTTTCAGTCAGTCAAGTTTTAGTCAAGGAAATTTCAGCCAAAGTAGTTATTCAGGACAAAGCGGATATGATTCTGGTACTGATGTTAAGTCACCGTCAGCTGAAGATTTCTTCGATATGACTGAACTTGCAGACGAGGAGGTAAATTCTGTTTCATGTGTTTCAACAAAACCACTAATAATTTGATTTTAGCCAGACAGTATAAATGAAGATTATGATGCTGATGATGAAACTCCCAATAAAGATGTCAAGCTCATGCCTCCACCAAAATTACCTGTTATCAAAGAATCTGCAGAATCAGTGGGTTCGGAAGTAGTTGCCTATCAATCTGACAATGATAAAAAGAAATTGGAGACCCCTTTGGCCGCAATGCTGCCTTCTAAATATGCTAATATAGACGTAACAGAACTATTTCCAGATTTTCGCCATGGAAAGGTGAGACTGATTATCTTTTATTTTAGCCACTCAAAAGTCAAAGCGATAATTTTCCATTGATGTTGCATCCTTTTTTTTTAAAATGGGTATAATTTTTCCAGTTTTTAAATGATTTGGAAAAACACATCTGGACCTTATGATTTTTTATTTTTTAGTTTGTTATTTATTAGTATAAACAATTCGTCACCTGTGTATGGAGTCAAATACATCGTATGAGGATTGAAATCTACTAATTTTTTAAATTCACTGTTTGTAGAGCGTGTTTGATTCACCAACTTAGTAGGAGTGTTGATAAAAAAGTATTAAACAAGGAAGATATAGTTTCTGGGTTTTCTATCAGCTGGTCATCCAACCTAATATTTATGTCATTGTATGTTCTATGTTTATTTGTTAATTCAGATAGCACATTTCATGAGGCATGGCTCTTATTAGGGGCTTCATATATCTTATCTTGGTAATATTTGTTCTTTTTTTCTTTAATTAAGGCATGGTGTTTTCTTTTTGCCTCTTTATAGACTGGCAAAAAAGTTGAATATGTATTTTTTAAAGTAAACAAGTCTCTCAACGATGTACCAGATTGTATGATTGAATCATCTACCCATCTCTTATTATTGTCCTTGTAATGAAATCTTTTTTCAGGAAAATTTGAATTAAAATGGTTGAGTAAAATTTCATAAAAATAGTTGAAAGCTTCATTAAAATCTGTAATTCTATAAACATTTTCCCACTGTTCATAACTCAAGAAGTTTTCAAAATGTATGATGTTACTTTCATTGAATTTTCTCTTCATTAAACTTTTGACGTGACTTTATCCTTATTCAAAGTATTCAGCTCTAAAAGTGCTATTCTATGATCAGAAATATTGTTGTCTAAAACACAGCAAGTACCACCATTAGAAAATTTTATAAAAATCTGATCGATTATTGTTGATGTGGTATCCGTTACTCGGGTAGGCCATCCTATTAACGGAAATAAATTAAAACAAGATAAAACCGTTTATATACATATCAAAGTTAAAATCACCGCAGAGTATAAAATGGATTCTGGGTTTGTATAGACAGTCTCACATCTCAGAAATCTTATCTAGGAATAAATTAGCATCTCCACTAGGAGCTTTATAACAGTTTAAAACAATATTTGTGCTATGATTTGTTTTGAAGGAAGCGGCACAAATTTCGAAGTGATGTTCGACACAAAATTTCGATACATCTGTGGATTTCATTTCAAAACTGTGGTGGGCCCATATGCTAACTCCTCCACAGCGCCTAGTTGGTCTGCAGTAGAAGCTAGTTAGTTTATAACCTTCAATATGTGTGCAATTTAATCGATCATATTTTACTCCTATTTCCACTAAACATAAAATTTGTAGCAATGTGAATTTTGATATGTGATCGCTGTATAACAAATCAGCTTTATCACTATTTAATGTATTTATATTGAGTAATAGAAGATTTGATCGAAATATCACACTATTGTGGTGGTTTCCCTGCGCTTCATTAAAAACTGACTTACACATGCACCGAATGGCCAAACCTCTGGGTGTATGGCTTTTTTGAAATTATTTTCAGATATTGTCACCTTGAATGATGAATACAATGCTGGAAATCGAGAAGTTAAGTGCTCGCATTTTACTTCAGGAAAATAGTTCATCAACAAATTAGATAATTCATCAATGGTTGTGTGAGGATCCAGTCCACAAACATGTAGACTCACACTCTTGGGTACCCCTCTACGAGATTCCTCGTTTTTTCCTATAACAAAAGTTCTTTTGTTTTTTCTTCTGACTACTTCAGTGCATGTTTCTTTCTTAGAAAGAGAGTTTAAGGGTGGATCACTTTCCAGATTAATGTATTTATTTAGATTTGTTTTTTGTGCGTATGTAATTGCAGAAGACACATCATGTCTTGTGCTAGGCTGTTGGGCTATAGAGGTTTTTTCTTCTTTTTTTCTGCAAATAATATCATTCCGATTCTCCTTGTTGATATCAATTAGGTGTTTTTCAAATTTGGATGTTTTTTTCATCATTAACCCCATTAACATTACCCCAACCAATCTCAAATCTCTGTTATTCTCTATTCAATAAGAATGAATTAATGTTACATGTTTCTTTTATTTTTACAGATATGACATATATATTATGAATTTACACACTAGCCCGTTTCTATTTCCTATATTTTTTAACACCTATTTGCAATGATTTCATATATTTCATTATAGGGATTTTATATTTATAATAATTTTATTGTCAATTGTATCTTTTTATCTATATATGTGTTAGGTTTAGTGTAGTTTAGGTACTGTGTATATGTAATTGGACTCTGTCTGTATATATTCAGGATAAATGAATAAATGAATTAAATAATGATAACTGTGATTTCAGCAAGCAATGGTTTAATAATAAAACATTGAAATTGATTAATTTCGAATGATTGTTTTCTGTTCAAGATTCAAAATTGACCAGAACTATGTAGGGGAGCCACCTTCCATTGAGGTAACCATCTTTCACCTGAATGATAACATTGACAAGCAGTTTCTGCGTGACATGGTACAAAATTTTGGTGTCATAGAAGAATTGTTCATCT